AAAATTATCGACCAACCGGGGGTCAAAAGCGCGCTCTAAAAGAATTTTATTATTTTTGATTTTATTGTACCTGTCCAGAAATGGTACCACCCTTTCCTTCTTCTTTTGTTTTGCCGGCTGCTTTCCTGATTTGGCTGCTGCCTTCCGTTTTGTCGAAGGCCTGCGCTTGGGAACAACAATTTCTTCATCATCTGGAATGTCAACTTCCAAATCCTCTTGCACTGCCTCTTCTGGGACTTCCTCCTCAAGAACTTCCTGCACATCCTCCTCCCAAGCCATATCAGCATCATTGGCCAAGTCCTGTACCATCTCATCTTCATAATCGCTATCCTCAGAAACGGGTTTGGTTACTGGTTGAGGAATGGCAGACTCGGAACTGGAACTCGCAATACTTCCCGAGGATGTGTCTGTGCTCACAGTTTGCCCACTGGGGGCAGTGACTGGGAGTTCCTCACTAGGAAGTGTAGTCACTGGTTGAGTCACAGGGGGCTGTGGTGGTAAGGCTTCAGGAACAGAAAAGGGAAACAAATCCTCAGGATTAATGGAGGTAGTGGCTTCAAAATAAAAAATAAACTCCTCCCCCAAGGTATTGAGGTCGAAATCGTGGACAGTGGGTGGGTCGAATGGTGTGGAGGGAAGGGCAATAGGGGGCGGTTGAGTGGGCGGTTGGTTAATCGGTTGTGGGAGGGGATTAGATAGAGGGGTCATAGAGGGTGGATTGGTTAGGGCTAGGAAAATGGGTCGTGGTGTTGGGGCGGTTGGAGGAGGCGCCACGGCGGCCGACGGTCGCACAGAAGACGAACCGGCACCGGGGGTTGGATTAGTGTGTATTATGGTGGATGGGGTAAAAACGGTGGAGAATAGGGGAGGAGTAGGAGCAATACATACCGGGGTAACGACGGCGTGAAACTCGTCGTAATCGACGGTGACGGTGGTGGGTGGACCGGTGATGGTGGTGGATGGTTCCTGCGCCGGTGGAGCGAACGCAATGGGGTCCGGTGAGAGAGGCGTTGACGGATGCATCGTCGGAACGGGAGTGTCGCCGGTCGTCGGCCGTCGAGATGAGCGACGAGCAGTTGGTCGGAATGGTGGCCGGCCGGCGGGGTTGTTTCTCGTCCGTGCCATGAGAAAAAGAGAAGGAAGTGAATAGTAAAACATAAAACTAAAAGTGAAGTCTTTTCCCCCCCTTTTTTCATAGGTAAACGATGATGGAAGCATAGAAAACCACCCACAACTACATGCAAGTGTCCTTGAAAGTACATG